AGAAAACCAACACAACTAAATAAAGTGCAGTCAATGTCTGAATTTAGTTCAATCTGGTTCCAGAGCTGTTTGGTCGAATCATACAAAATAAACCCTAGAATTGTTCTCCCATGCATAATCATTGACATAGCATGCAAAAGGATGCAGTGAACTGTGAAGAAAGAGTTACCCATCCTTGTAGAGGAAGACCACAACCCAAACATCTGATGGTGCCTGAGACACCTCCCGCACGAAGTCCGAGCCAGTGATGGGAACTATACTACCAAATCGCGTGGCTTTTGCTGCCTCCCTCAGCTCTGCAAGCCTCATCTTCCTGTAGGCATGGAATTACATCAAATCGTCACAATCAATTCCCACTTGTACCAAACGAATCGCAAAACACATTGAATAATCCAAAGTCTGGAACTACTGCGAGGAATCCGGATCAACAATAGAAAAACATCAGATTCCTATCAGAAGCACACGAATTATACCAATTAACCACGCTAGTCAGATCAGATCAATCAAACGCGGCAGGCACTAAAGCTTCTTAAGATGCATCTAATAACAGACGGGGAAAAGACAGCATCACGGATCAGCAATCAGACTGCAGACCGGATCAAGCCTACGGAGTTACAGTAATGATCCTGGTATCATTTCCACAAATGTTTTTAAACTATAGTTTTGCCATTCCCAAAGCACCACACCTAGCTTAGTAGACTGACCAATTCAGATCATTCAGTGGCAAACTCACATTATGCCTCAATTTTACAACCCAAACCAGTCATAATGTAAATTAGGTAAAACTTCTGCTTACGAATCATGTGCTAAAAAGGTGCATTTAGTGAGAAGTTTTAGAAATAAAATCACAATGTGACTAAGCTTCCACGTTATGTCTCACCAATTAGTATCTGCCTCCAGGACTAGCAACTTGTAGTATTAGAAAATCTCCAGATTGCCAAAGGTGAGATGAGGCAAGAAACACAACAAAGCTGTTTAAAAAAAAAGACTATTCAATGTACAAATGTTTCTACGCCCATAGTTTTTTCGGTCAAAAGCAACACACCTGTTTGACCTAACAATTCGGATTATTTAATCATCAAACCTCCTCAATTATCTAACATTAATGATACACCAAAAGTAACATTACAGTTCAAATACGCAAAACCAAGCAAGTCATCCACTAGAGTATGTAATCCAGCAGAATCCACCATACCAAAATGCCAATCTCTTACCAAGTCAAAAATAAAATTATTGCACAAAACAGTCAGCGTTCTTTTATGTGCAATACACAAATCATAAATTCATAACCTGCAATTCAACTAAGATATATACAAGCACGGCACAAAATAGCAGGATTTTGGTCCTATAGGCTGGATTACACCTGCAATTGAGATCGCAGAGCAGTATTAAGAGATCGGAGGCTTCGGCACGGATATTCTTACCCCCTAGCGATCGGACGGGCGAAGCGCCAGCTCTCGCTTGGTGACAACGTGTCCCTTGTTTATGCCAACGAAGAGACCTAACTTGGCCTGCGTCGGTGCCATGGCCGGTCTCGTGCTAGCTACGCTAACCTGAAACGAACGCAATCGAAGAAACCAAATCGAATTAGACACAAAATGAAGCTGAGATGAAACGAACGCATTCGAAGAAACCAAATCGAATTAGACACAAAATTAAGCTAAGAGACTTGTAGCTTCGGGTGCAATTGGGATTGAAGACGGCGCTTGAGGTTACCTGAGTGGGGCGCGAGCGAAACCCTAAGCCGCCGGGCCCGGATCTCGCCTCCTCCACCTCCATCGCCGGATCTACGCGGTGCCGGTGTAGGAGCCCGGCAACCCTCCTCGTCCTCCTCCACGGTGTCGATCCCCGCCATGGCTGCTGCCCGGACCGCCGCGTCCACGAGCGCACCTCGCCGCCCGCACCCTCCCGCCAGCGGGGATGGCCACCGCCGCCGCGAAGGGGAGCGCGGACGCCGCCAGGCCCGGATCTCGCCTCCTCCACCGCCATCGCCGGATCTACGCGGTGCCAGTGTAGGAGCCCGGCAACCCTCCTCGTCCTCCTCCACGGTGTCGATCCCCACCATGGCTGCTGCCCGGACCGCCACGTCCGCGAGCGCACCTCGCCGCCCGCACCCTCCCGCCAGCGGCGACGGCCACCGCCGCCGCGAAGGGGAGCGCGGACGCCTCCGGTCCCGGATCTCGCCTCCTCCACCGCCATCGCCGGATCTACGCTGTGCCGCCGTTCGCCGGAGACTGGTGAGGAGGGATGGCATGCCCTGGAAGCCGCAGCCCTGCCCTCGCACTCGCCGCCGCTGCCACCGCCCTCGTCCTCACCCCGCCCTCGCACTCGCCGCCGCAGCACACAGAGAGAAAGAAGGGCTCGAGAAAGAACAGAGCGACTGAGAGAGAGGGGCCGGCCTGCGTTGGTCCGAAGAGAATAATACGTGAAACACTGTAGTACTTCAATCGTACTCTGAACATTATTTTTCTATCCTTGATTTACTGTTCTACCCTCAATTACGTAAAATAATTTCAAAAATAGAAAATTTCCCACTTTTTTCATGTGCTGATCCGATCAATTTTAGTATGCACCCGGTGCGTATGGTCCAACCATTTAGTATGCACCTGGTTCCTCTCGGTACCTCTTAAATTGGTTCCTCTCGGTTCCTTTGCCTTTTTAGCCGTCGGATCGGTCCTCGTGAGTCGTCTATTTTATGACAACCATTGTAAAAATTCTCTATTATAATAGCTAAATGACAAAAAATTTCTCATATTCTCCACATCAAAATTGTCCTCAAGACCAGTACCAATGGAATGGTACACCTCATACCAGTACCATTAGAATACTTCCATACCTTTTCGTTTTAAGGAAATCTCTGATTACGTCGATGAGCATCCTCTCATCCAATGTTTCTCCATTAATGATCTTGCTAAGATCATACAACAATGCCTTGAACTAGCAGGAACCCCGCGCGTTGCCGCGGGCTAGAGTCCGATCGCATTGTGAATCGTCTATTACCTATCAATTGGTTGACAACAATTTCGTTAAAAATAACAGCATGCTGATGTCCAATGGATATATATATATATATATATATATATATATATATATATATATATATATATATATATATATATATATATAGAAGCAAGATTTATCACCATACAATGAAATGGAACAGATAAGCTGGCAACAGAAAAGTTATTTCTGAAACCTTTAACCATTGGAAATAGAGCAACCTGAAAGCACATATATATGTAGAGTAGACTATGAAATTAAGCATAGTAACATGGAACCACATTTTTTGTCTACTCATTATAATTTCATTTAGCAGAAGATAGCATGGATCATTAAGTTTTAAATTTATAAAATTAGCAGCGATCAAATAATTTGGATTCAACAAAAGACATTAAGCTATCTGATTGATCAAGGGATGTCATGATATTAACATCAAGCCTTCTCTATGTCACACCTGATTCTGAAGAGATAAACTAGGTGCATATTACATGTGTGCCAGGATCAATTTCCACACTTGCAACGACTTCATTAATGGTCCAAAACACAGTGTTCATACAAAAGAGTGTAAACGAGTACAAGTATCATTATTACAAATCTTTATCAAAGTCTAGCGGCAACATAAACGATAGCGTCCAACGAAAGGTAAAGACGACAACGACATTGTAGCGGATCCACCTCACCACAGGAAGGTCGACGGCAGGAACACGAGCCTAACACCCAGGTAGATCTTCAGGAAACTCCTCCCAATCTTGTGTATCCGAGCAGCCTTTATTTTGTGATTATAGCAAGGGTGAGTCCATGTCGAACTCAGCAAGTACAGGTGGAAAATAAATGATATGCAAAGCTTAAAACCAAGGTAGGCTGACTCAGGCTTACTGCAGATTGGCTTTTTAGTTGGCAAATTTTATTAGTACAACCTGATTACTAAGATGAGTGAAAGATCCCATCCATTAATTATCATGAAGAACATTATTATATCATCATCATATACCGAGGTAGCCACCTCCTTCTGAAGAAACATCACCTGCTGTTCAACTGTCCATATTCTAATCATGTGAGGGTCTGGGCCGCTCATAACCGTGAGCATTGCTGATATACCAGGTTTAAAACTTTGCAGAGATGTACATCTTTACCCTCAAGTCGTGATCCCCATATGCCCAAGGTGATCAGCCCTGAAACACCACCAAGGTGAGCAGGCAGGGTCTCACTACGAGACTGTTCACATGTTCTAATTAATAGAATGCAACCCGCAAGGTTTTGCCTAGGCGCCGAAAGCCGTCCCCATAGCCATGGGATCCGGACATCCGCAACTTAATATTCATTACCTAGGTTACTCTCTTACGCCTACCCGGTAAGCTGCACCCTACTCGTAGAGGTCCTGCTAATATGTCAAGCCAGAGCCATATGGCTTGAGGATGTACGGTAAGTCCCAGGTGGTCGCTCCACGAACTGGTCCTTAGGGAGAGTAGACACGAGTACCCCTGAAACAGGGAAGGGCTCCAGTGCACGTTCCCCCTTTCACCTTAAACCAAGTTGCTATAAAAGCATCTTTTAAACATCATCATGTTGCAATAAGCCATTAGTCAAGATTACATTTATCATCATGTGTAATTGCGGGTGGAGCAGCTAAGCATAACTACACAACTCATGATAAAACCCCAGGTGTAACAAGGAAGGTAAAAGTAGGGCTAATCAGGTCCATAGGGTTTACATAATTGAAACACGTGCAATATAAGTAAAGGTGAATTAAAGAGTGAATAGGTAATCAAGATGATCAAATGGTGCCTGCACTTGCCTTGATCAAGCTCAGGCTGCTCAAACTCCTCCGGGACTTGCTCCTCGTCTCCCACGAACGGATCATCCTCTAAACGCATCAAGCATCACACACGGGAGCAAAACATGCAAGCAAACATGCATTTAATTAGAACAGTACACCATTACATTGAATCAAAAGTAAACAAGCTCATAAAACTGTTCTACGCGTCCAGACCTGGATTTTTTCATCCGCATATCTGATGCTTGGGAAGATTGGGATGGATTTCAACTGCATGCCTCAGCGCAGCCTCCAATTCCCTTACCTCTTCCTTGCTAGCGCCTCTAGAACGCAAATAAATTTTGACATCCTGGAGTGATGGCAGGTTTCCCAGACCCAACTCAGGACCATCACCATTGCAGGTGATTTGTCTAGCCGCCTGTACACAGAACTCAAAGTTAAGAATTTCCAGCCTTGGCATAGCTCCTTGCTGAAACATTATAGGCCCTATAGATCCTCCGAACTGGAACAATACAAGGCATGGGAATAATCCAGCACCAATGATGAATCCCCCAAGGGTTCCAAGATTTTTTGGATCCACCGACAGTTTTAGCAGACGGAGAGCTGGCAACCTCCCAAGGGTTTCGAGATTGACCTGCCAGAAATCCCTCACAGCAATGGATATGTATACAAGGTCCAGTAGGTAAGACTGATTCATCCTTGCTGGCAGTGTTGAGAACCAGCATGGCCATTCTATATCCAATCTACAGAGATGTCGAGGGGCAACCCAGGCATCCAATCCACCAAAGTCCCATTGATTATCTCCAAAAATCTTGATGTATAGATATTCCATATTTTGCAGCTTGGATAGGCACTCCACCAGCTTCCCACTCCAACCAATGAACAGCAAAATATGAAGCACTCTCAGTTTGATTAGCTGGCCCAACTCTTCTATAATGTCAATGGAGACGGTAATGTCTAAAGTTGACAGCACTTCAAGGTTTGTTAGGCTCCCAATCTCATTTGGCACTCTTGTAAACTCATCAATGTACAGGCACATCAAATTTTTGAGCTGAACAACAGTTGATGGCAAGCTAAACATATTGTTGCCCCTCACATCCAAAGTCTGTAGAAATTTTAGGTTTCCTATTTGTTGAGGAAGCTGAGCAATGTGTGTGGCACATAGTCCTAGGTACCTCAAGTGAAATAAATCCCCAAGGTACCCAAGGCTGTAACCTCGTGAAAGATCACAATCTTGTAAATTCAGGACCCGTAAAACTCGGAATCTCGGAAGGACTGGCATTACACAAAATGCTGATGGAAAGACAACAGCTGACCTTACATGTTCCAAGCTTGCATTATGTAGTAGAGGCAAAGCGTTATCTTCTTTACCATATTGAAGAGACAACCTCCCAAACAACTTTGATGGAGATGTGTACCGCACACCATTTAATATAGTAACTAAATTTTCTTCACTTGACAAGAAGCAAATAAGATCGTGCACCATATCATGTACATGACAAGCATATATCAAGCCAGTGTACCTCTCATAGATAGGTTGGATCATACTTCTGTTCATAAGTTCATTGAAGTAACTGTCGCCAATTGCAAATAGACTCTTACCTTGGTTTTCACATTGAATAAAGCCTTCGGCTATCCACATCCATATCAAACGATCTTTTTCAATTTTATAATCTTCTGGAAACACGCTTAAATATAATAAGCAAGTTCTCAGATGGGTGGGCATTTCATAATAGCTAAGTGATAATATCTATCTCATATTAACCACATCAGTAATATCGCTAAGACCAGTGCCAATAGAGTTGTACACATCATACCAATCAATCTCATTTCTTGCTTTAGATGCTAGAAGACTAGCTATTGTAACAATAGCCAAGGGAACACCACCACATTTCTGTAGTATTCTCTTGGATACTTCAGCCAGCTCCTTATTCAGACATTTTTCTATGTCTTCAATGTTGTCCTTGTTTTCGTTACCAAATATTCTTCTGTACAACAACTTTTGGGAGTTACTCAGGGAAAGGGGTTTCAACTTGTAAGCACCACCAACTTCTTCCGCAACACCAAAATTACGCGTTGTTGTGATAATTATGTATCCAATATCATTATCAGGCAAGGCACGTCTAATCGTTTGCCAGACTGAGATATCCCATATGTCATCAATAACAAGAAAATACCTACACACAGGGCAAGTTATTAGCAAAAACTAATAAAATTACGATGGGAAGTTCTATTGTTCATGAACCAAATTGTGCCAATTAAGCTAACTGGAACAATGCAAATGAACTTTTAGACAAGATTAACATGTCCATAGACAAAAGAACACGAGTCAGAATCTTAACCAAAAACAAAAAAAAGACACCCAGGGAAAAAATTACTGTCATTGCTCATATTATTTCCACTGAACAATGATGTTTAAAACATAAGTGGCAGTATTTTTTTTATTTAACTAGGACATGCATGCACATTTCTCATTAACCTTGTTTGGCCCTAGGACGTAGTATTATGATTGGAGGGCAAAACTTAACAGCGGCAAAACAATTCATATGCACACACTAATTGCAGGAATTAATGCTTGGGCTTCCATACCTTTTATGTTGAAGGAATTCTCTGAGTTCATTGATGCTGTCATCGTATTTATTCCTATCAAGTTGATACAGAATGTCCTTGAATAGTTTATTCAAGTCAGGAGTTTGAGACACTGATACAAAAGCATAGCAATCGAATTGTGCACTAATCTTCTCATACACTGCATTAGCAAGAGTTGTCTTGCCCATCCCACCAAATCCAACAATGGAGACTATCTTGCCTTGCTGTGAGGGCACTCCGTTCTCTCCCATCAAAATCTTGATTAACTCATCTCTAGTTTCATCAATGCCAACGAGGTCTTTAATCATTGTGTACTGAGAAAATAAACGTGGGTCCACAGTAGGTTTGGTAGGTTTATCAACACCAAGGTTAACATCGTACATGTGACACCTCTTGTGCACCTCTGAGACACGGCTTATGATGTCTCTGATCCGAGTAGGAATCATATGTCTAGCAACTGATCTCCGTATACGACTCAACATACGACTCAACTCTGCTGACTCGTTGAGCTTGCCAGGCATCATGAGTGTGTCAATAATGTCCTCTATGTCATCAGACAGCTCCCTAAAATCTCTGGCCCAGATCTTGTCCTGGCTGTTAAGCTGGTCTGTCGGTGTATTGGAGAGCTTCTCGAGCTCAGAGTGAAGAAACATAATCTCCTCTCTCTCTCTCCTCCTCTTTGACCTGGCCATGGCCCAGATCTTGTCCTGGCTGTTAAGCTTGAGAAGAACACCAAGCTTGGTGATGACCCTCGATAGTGGCCCCGTTGCGGTCTCCATGGATCAGATCTGTCCTGGGCGAACCCAAGGAGTGAGGCTACTGTGTGTATACGGAAGAGGGCGAGATAGAACTCACCAGAGTTCTATCTGTGTGTATACCGCTGGTCGCGAATCCCGCTCCCCTTCTCGCCGGATCCGGCTTCCCGCCGGGTATCGACCGATCAAGCCGAGGAGCCACAGTCGCCCTCTGTTTTTTGTTCCAAGTTGCTTCCGGGTTGCTGCTCTGTAGCTGCTGCTGCTCTCTAGTTGCTGCCCTCTGTTTTTTGTTCCAAGTTGCTTCACGTATCTTCTTCCACATGCCGCAGCATCTTTCTCTTTGCGCCGGGTGCCTACTGGTGACAGCTTTTTCTAGGCCCCTCCCATAGTGGCCATATCATCTTCTTTCCCCATTTCCATGTGGGTAAATTTGGGTAGCACATTATTTAATATTGATATTTGCTATTCCCTCCATTCCAAATTATAAGTCGTTCCAAGAATCTTGGAGAGTCAAAGTATCTCTAGTTTGACCAAAATTATAGAGATAATTATAAAAATTTATAATCATTAAATAAGTATACTATGAAAATATAATTAATAAAGAATCTAATGATACTTAGTTAGTATCATAAATGTTATTATCTTATCATATAAATTTGGTCAAACTTGAGATGCTTTGACTCTCCAAGACTTTTGGAATGACTTATAATTTGGGATGGAGGGAGTACTTAATATTGGCTTTGCTAGGAACACTTTTTTATCGTGGCAATTAGCCCCTTAGACACTACATTTACTAAATTTTGGAGAATTTACTAAAACTCTAATGTGTGACCAAATGTTTGGATTTTAGGGTCAGGTTTTAACGTGGCATCCACATATAGATCTATCCACACCGATCTCCATGAAGCATAAAACTGTATGGCACATCATTTCGAAAAACTTCTATCAAATTTGCTGAAACTTTTACAAGGAACATGAGATCTTAATTCATTTAATCCGGGGGCTCACATGTAGCCATACTAATTATGATACTCCCTCTGTCTTAAAAAAGGTTGTAATTTTAAAACAGTACTCCCTCCGGTTCTATAAAACAAGTCGTTTTGGACATCGACACGGTCTTTAAGAAACGACTTTGACCGCTACTTTTTGCTATAAAATATTTATAAAATATAGTCAATATATACTTTTATGAAACTACATTTCGAGATGAATCTACTTACATCACTTTCATATTTTCAAACTCAACCCAAAAGAAGTTATTTGTAGTCAAAGTTTAAAATGTTTGACTTAAGACAACCTCAAAACGACTTGCTTTAGAGAACCGGGGGGAGTATTGTGCTATATTAAGTTTGACAAATTTATATAGAAAATAAAGACTAAAATGCACCCTGGGTGCTTAAACTTTTCATGGATTCACACTTGGGTCCTTGAACTAAAAAAGTGACCATCGCGTCCTCAATCTACTGTGGACTATCGTCTAGGTCCTCCAACTTAAAACGTGACCATTTAGGTCCTTAAACTAATGTGGCACCTGAGTAGAGGTCAACTCTATAAGCCTATTTTTTTTTAAACTCTATAAGCCTATTTAAAGGCAATATGATATGATCAGGCTCGAGTATATTTTCAGGCCATAATTATTTTCGGATTAAAGGCATTTTTGCGCACATGCATGCAAACATATTTAGGTCGCTAGCCAATCATTCAGCAGAGCTCTCCATGCATGCATGCACGTCACGTTTCTCGGTACATGCACGTCACGTTTCTTTAACCAATGAAACGGCCAGCCAATATGTTCGTATAATAATATATACAATGCTGAATATAATACGTGATACTACGTATCTAGCGATAGACTCGTCTTCAATCTTCATCCGTTCGTCCTTGCTCGGCAAGGGGGTCAATCGGCTTTGCCTCCTGCTGCAGCCGCCGCCGCCGCCGCCATCTATACGCATGCCAGTGCACCTCGACACATCTTATCCGTAGCGTCGTCCAGCATGCCGTTACTCTTGCGGCATCGGCACCGTCGTCAAAAACTCCGGCAGCTCGATCCTCATGGCAGCACGCACTCATGGTGAAGAGGCGCGGCGCAACAACGGCGGAAACGGGAAGAAATGAGAGTGGAATGTGGAGTAGAGAAGCTAGGCCAATACGGCCGTTTGATAAGAGTACGATGTGTTGTAGCCTTGTAGGCAAAGCCACCGGGTGTGCTTGACACAAATTTGACGCGCAAACCCAACATTCTTTAGTGTCCCATGGACATTTGAAGCGATAAACAAACCAACAGAAGAATTGTGACTGGACACGTTGTACTGATGCACAGAACAGAGCGCATCGAAAACAGAGGATGCGGTCAACACTGTCCACACACCAAAGCAGAGCATGTCGCTAAAATACCTCCGTTTTTCCCCCCTCTTCATTTCTGTGTTTGCAGGTTCATCAGGCCGGCACATTGGCCTACCACTCCCCCCAAGGAAGATCCCAGATTTCCCCTGCACCGCATCATTGAGATCAACAAGTGAAATTTGTGCTTGGATAAAAGAGTGACATCTGCCTAGAACGACCTCCAAGCTAGCTGTAAGCGTGTGCTAGACACACATCATAGTACTGTAGCGCTTAATCAACCAAATGTAATCCAAACAAGTCATCATTTTAAAGGATAGGACTCATATGAGATTGCAGCCACCAGAGTACATGCTTTAACTTTAACAATCACACAGCTGATTCTGTCATGTCCATGTTATTAACATCTTAGCTAATGATACAGACCTTAGTTTTTTTTATCATGATCCAGTGCACATCCACGTACATGAGCTAGGCCCATGCTATGTCACAGGTCCTAGACCCGTTTGCTCACATGGCAGTCCACGCTGGCACCAGCGATGCTAGACCAGCACCTAAACTTGGTAGATTGTGTCACATAGGTCCCTAAACTTTCAAAATTCACATCCACATATATGAACTAGGCCCACGCATTCAAAATGAACATTCATTTTAGTGTCAATATGGATATCTGTATTCGTATCCGTATCCATATCTGGTTCTGAGATCGAAAAATATGAGATATGGGATAAAATGAAGGATCACTCATATCCATCTGTATCCGATCCGGTTTCGTTCCTACCCCTAGTTATGCACACAATAGCACTTGCATCTTTGAAAGATACTGCGAGTATGACATAAGCTTGCATCATATCAAGAGCAATGTAGACGAATCTCGTAGCAAACTTTTGACGGCGTTGAAGTAACCACAAAGATATTAGGATTTGGAGAAGCTGGCCGTAAAGTCTATAAGCATAACTCTTGAGGGTCTACCCTATATAAGAAACTAGTGTTATAGAACCGTCTAGCCTAATTCTCTTGAGGGTTCCTAATTGCTCCTTACAAGCTTTGAATGGGACCGTTATATTGACTTGGTTGATGTCTACATTGATATACTCAAGTTCTAATAGAATTATAAGTCCTCATAACACACTTGTCTCCATTCCTAATCAAGTAGGATTTGAGTCACCATACAACAAGCTGCATAATTAGAAATCTGGTCGAGACCCGGCCGCCCGCCGCTGGATCCGGACGCCCGATGCCGGATCCGGCCTCCCCCGCCGCCATAACGCCAAATCCGGCCTCACCCGCCGCCATGACGCTGGATCCGGCCTCCTTCGCCGCCGGAGTTGACGCAAACGTCGAGGAGTAATGCCACCGTAGGGAGCTGAGGCCGGAGGAGGAGCACCACCACGCCCGCGCCCCCACTGCCCACATCGCCCGCGCCCGCCGCCTCGGCCGTGCCCGCGCCGCCGGATCCGGGCTCCTCCTCGCTCATGGCCGCCGGATCCGGGCTCCTCCTCGCCCGCGCTGCCGGATCCGGGCTCGTCCTCGCCCACGGCCGCCGGATCCGGGAGGGAGGGGAGGAAGGGGTGCCGCCGCCGGCCGGATCCAGGAGGGAGGAAAGGGAGGGGTGCCGCTGCCAGCCGGATCCGGGAGGGGGGCGCCGTGCTCAAGGAGGGAGGAGAGAGAGGGAGGGGCGGCATCGGGGTAGAGAAGGAGTGAGGGAGGGGCGGCGCGGGGGAGAGAGGGAGGAGAGGGCCAGGTGCGGCTGAGAGGGTGCGAGAGAGAGAGAGAGAGCTAAGAGGGTACGAGAGAGAGTGTGTGTTTAGGGTTTCTGATTTTATTTATATAATGGAGATGGTAGTGGGCTTGTGTGCGCTGGAGGGCTGGACCTGATTTTCCGAAGCGGATGCGTTAGAATGCCTGCCTCGGTTAATGATTTACCGAGGCGGTTGCCTTAGGATGTCCGCCTCTGTTAAGAACTAACCGAGGCGGTTGCTGGGCCGGCTGCCCGGCCACCTAATAACGGAGGCGGGCAACCGGCCCGCCCGCCTCTGAGGCCATTTGGCAAATGCCTTGGAAAAGTTTTATTGTAGTAGTGTTGTCCTGGACGAAGACAAGGAGGGTGAGCAAAGTGTGGAGATGAATGTGCCGCGGAGGTGCTTGATAAAACTCGGCCTAATAAGGGTAGAATTGAACTCTAGGAGCTATTCGGATATGGGCAGAAAGGGCTGCGGAGCGCGAGCTAGGACTCACCGACTCACCGTCACCGTCCACCGCTAGTCACAAATAAGGCTCCCCGTGTCGCCGGATTCGAAGTTGCTTCTGCCAGCAGCGCCCAGCTTGCTGCTCGGCTCTTGGCTCTTGGTGATGCCTTGGGAGTTGGGACAGAACCGGCGATAAGAGACGAATGGAAGGAAATGAAATCAATGGAAGATAAGATGTACTCCCTCCGTCCCAAAAGAGGATGAAATCTTGCATTTTAAATTTTGTCCCCAAAAGAATGTAATTGTGGACTTCGGATCACGTTTTTCCGATGGGATCTGCCTATTAAAAATACCACTACTCTATTTATCCATGAGAAGAATATTTTAGAATGCAATGATTGTTTTTCAGTTTCTACCTACGTGGAGAATGATGGAGGAGGGGCAAAAGTGTAATTTTACATCTACATTGATCTTACCTCGAAGAGTGAGATTTAC